ACTGCAGATAACAGTCAGCTGAAGTGGCCTGCAGTACTGCACCCTAACCACTGCGCCACCTCGGCTCAAGGGCAAGGCAACACTTGGCAGGACTGTGAATTCCTTTCATTCACAGTCCCCAAGGCTTGGCAAACAGTCTTTCAGAGGAATATTTATCCACACGAACCTTATCTCGCTTGGCGAACTGCCAGACACTGGGAAAAGCGACTTATGACAGAAAAATTCGACCGATTTGGGGACCTGATCAGCACGAAGGCTGAGTAAAGGCCACACAATGTGATAACAAAGATCGTCCTTGACTTACAAAAGCTGTCATGACTGTTCAAGGACACTGGGGAAAGTGACGTATCACCGTTTTTCGCACTTATGACCGTGGCAGCCTCCTCATGGGCTTGCATGGCCATGGACTCCGATTTCTGATGGCTAGTGTCAGGCGATCTCCTTTTGCGACCTTCTGACAAGCCAAATCCATGGGCGAGCCGGATTCGCTTAACGACCGTGTGACTGACTTAACAGCAGCGATTCGCTTGAACCACAGCGGCAAGCAAAGTCGTAAAATGGGGCAAAGCTCACTTAACAACTCTCTTTCACTCGTCATGAGAAATTTGGGGCTCGATTTCAGTTGTAAGGTCGAGGACTATCTCTAGTTAGCACACCTACCTGCTCTTTCTCCTCCTCTCCAAAGTAGACCTCGTACGCCAGGACGGAGGCGAGCAGGGGGGCGCAGGCCAGCTGGCGGGCGGGGGGCTCCCAACAGTGGAAGGCCTGTGCAGGGGGGGGAAAAACACCCAGCTCAACAATTTGCCGGAGAAGACGGAGCAGAAAACGTACCAGAAAACCAAGAAAAGTTTGGTTACCTCCAAGAGGAGCTGCAACACCTCCGGCTGGTGGGCGCCGCGTTTCCGGCAGGCACCGAGGAGCGCCGTGACGATGCCGAGATGCTCCAGGGCCAAGATTTGTTCCAAGCCGGGGCCCAGCTCCTGAAAAAGCCGCCCCAGCTGGGGAGATAGGATATACATGAGAAGACCCTCCTAAGGGCCCTTTTCCCCTCTTCTAAACCGACACGAATCTGTTTGATTGATCTGCAACGGTTCCTATCAGATCGCTAGCCGTTCAGGGATCATTACTGTATACCGTATTTTTCAGAGTATAAGACGCTCCAAAGTATAAGACACACCTAGCTTTTGGGGAGGAAAGCAAGGGAAAAATAACTTCCTCTGCCTCCCAGTAATTTGCCACCTTGCAACAAACAGCACAGACAATATACACTGTGTGTAGTGTTATATTTCAGACTATACTTGTACAGATGCTGTTAAAATTGATGTGCTTTATGAAAGTATAGTTACCGTATTTTTCAGAGTATAAGACGCACCAAGGTTTTGAAGAGGCAATTTTTTTACAAAAAGTAGGTAGGTAGATAGAGGGATA